CACACACACATTCGTGCATAGCACGTTGCTATGGACACGCCAGCACACACAAACACTCCAACAAATACCTACACAAACAAACGCTAACACACACACACACACACACACACACACACACACACACACACACACACACGCAAACACAACCCAACACACTTCACAGCACACACAATTAATAATCCCATATACACCCCCTTCACACAATGCGTAGACCGACAGTAAAGCGACATTCCTTTTCTCTCCCAACCAATATTTGTGAGGCAGCGTGGTGGAATCAGGATCTGGTCAAAATAATCCAAGTGAAGAAACTTGCATTTTTCTGCTGGTTTTTTAATTTAATTTTTTTTTTTTTTTTGGCCCTACACTTTTCATGCCCATTTAAGAACTAATTTCTGTGTGGATTGTTCATAAAAACGTTGATTAAAGGCACACAGAATATAAATTTTCAGTTACCACGGACTATTAAGCTAAGCAAATACTAATCTTTAGCGGCCATTTTCTCATTAATTTTACCTCTGAAAACAAGTGACCCCCCAGATCATTCATTCGTAAATATCTCGACTTGTATTCAAGATAAATGGATACTTTTTTCATCCAAATAAAGATAAGTGAACAAGCTTTAAGATGATACCAATAACTCTACATGCCCAAAAATTGACGAGAACCTGATTCCACCACGCTGCCTCACATTTATATTTACCAAACTTGTGTTGCTGTTTTTTTTCTCTCTTTTTTCCCCACTATTCCAAATGTGTCAAGAGCGACCAGCAGCTGTATTGGCTGGATGATGTCACTGTGTTCTGTGCTGTCAGCCATCTGTGTTATATCGTGACCTCATTGCAGGCACTGCATGCATTGGATTAGATCTAACTTGTTTTTGTTCGATTGTAGTGGTTGTTGTTCTTGGTGCTTTTTGTTTGGGGTTGGGTTTTTGTTTTTGTTTTTTTTGTGAGGGGGAGGGTTTTGATCATCTTTTGTATGTAAATATCTAATGAATCTATTTTACGTAATACTTTATTAAATGTGTTTGTTACAGCGTTTGTGCGTGCACTGTGTGTATGTGTGTATGTGTGTGTGTGTGTGTGTGTGTGTGTGTGTGTGTGTGTGTGTGTGTGTGTGTGTGTCTTGTAAGTAAGTGTGATAGACGAATAGATAGATAGATATACATATAAATTAGCGAACATAAAATAGATAGATAGATAGATAGATAGATAGATAGATAGATAAATAGATAGATAGATAGATAAACAGGGGACCAAGTAGATAGATAGATAGATAGACAGACAGATAGATAGATAGATAGATAGGTATGCGAACAGGAAGCTAGCTAGCAAGATAGATAGATCGCTTGATAGATAGATTTGCCCAGCTAACCCCCCTGCCCTACCCTGAGCCCATCGTCCAACTCACAGTCCGTGTCGTGTTTTACGCCAGGTTCGTGCCGGAACCTACAGAGCAGCATCAACCACGAGGGTGGCGTGGGAGTCATCTCTATGGCTGTCAGCTTCACGGGCTACATGCTGGGCAGCATCGTCAGGTGACCACAGCGGGGCCTTCTCATTGGTCCTTTCTCTTATGCTTGTTTTGTTGCTTCTTTTTCGTTGGTCTTTGCTTTGGTTTTTGGGTTTTTTCTTTTTTTTCTTTTCGGGGAAGGGGGTGGTTATTATTCATCTGTTTATTTATTGACACTACTTTTTCTATCTATTTTCTAAAAGTTCTCTGTTCTTTACTATTGATTTGTGAATTTGTCTTGTTATATTTTTTTAAAATCTACTCTTTGTTGATATAATTTTCTGGTTGTGTGTTTCTTATTTTGTCTGTTTCTATTTTGTAAATATTTTTGCTTATTTTTTTGCTGCAGGGAAAAAACAGTTCCCTCTTTTCTTATTTCTCGCACGGAGTTGTCGCCCATGAGAGATTATTCTAAACACACCTGCTTGAGGCGTATATATATCAAACTACACTTATCAGACATTCCACATTGATTAACCTACGGGTTTTATTCGGTCCCGAGGTTTATCTTTGCCCCACATCAGTCAAAACAACAGGCTTACATTCCCCTACACAGACGGCCTCAGTCGATGAAAAGTTTAGATTTCTCACTTTGAGAGACTGTCGTGAGTAATTAAAAATTTCTCCGAGCCCCACGACTGTGGGTGCGGCAATGTGTGGCTGTCTTTGTCTGTCTGCCAACAGAATGTTTATCACGGCACGGTGGAATCAGGCTCTCGTCAATTTTGCAAAATGTAAAGTTATTGACATAATCTTAAGTTCCGTTCTCTTTTTTCTGATTTTGAAAAAAATGATGCCAAAAAAATACCCATCATTCTTGATTAGAAGTCGAGATGATTGAAAGAGGTGGGGGGTCTCCTGTTGTCAGAAGTAAAGTAAAATTAGAAAGAAAATGGCAGCCCCAGTTACGTGAGTTCCAAGCTTGTCCGGATGTTTTTGGAGAATGCAAATTCTTGTGTTTTTGATCGACGTGATTCACTAAAAATCTACATACAAATGTCTTTTAGGCATTAAATGCGTGGAGCACCCTCAGCCTTTTCTCCAAATACAAAATGATGATAAAAATCACCCTACAAGCAGAAAAGCTACTTCTTCTCTAACCTCGCTATATAGACGAGCACCAGTTTTCACCATGATGTCACACATGTTGGTCCCTGTGAGGAGAGTTGAGCTATGAAGGAAAGAAAAAGCCTTGTGCCAGTGTATTACAAAAACTAACTTGTATAGATTTAACGAAACTTGAAAAATAACAAGATTATCTAATTGTTGGGACCCCCGAATTTCACCCCCGTCTATGATAGGACCAAGCCGGATGGGGACATTTGTGTAAGCGTCCTTTCCCAAGAATACGTCTGGCAGAGCTAAGCTTGGACCCCCTAGAGTCAGTTGACGAAATTTTGGGGTAAATATTACCAAAAAATTGAATATTTCCTCAAGTTACCAATATTTCCCAATTCCCTTTCATAAATCCCCAGAATCGATCTTAAAGCACCTGTACACCAAATTTGAAGCTTCTAGCTTCTGTAGTTTTTGAAAACTCCTTGCACCCAGGAGGTCACATATGTCAAAAAGTAGAGTTTGAGAAAAACAGAAAAAACAGGGATTTTTTAAAGGATTTTTAGAGCAATTTGCACTTTTCAAACGCCCTTTTAGGACATTTAGGGTGTTTTTTCAACAGTTTCTTCATTTTGACTCGATAGAAAATATGTCAAAGGATGTTTTTCCGCAAAAAACAAAAGTTGGGTAGTTTGAAAAATTTTATCGATATTGCCTTGGATCGCCCACCCGAGTCTTCACTTGAATCATAGACTACTGACACGCCTGAAGAATTTGTTTTTCTAAACCGACCGTAATAATAGACACAATCTAGGTCATTTAGCGCTATGTCAGACCAGACTGTCGGGTCGAAGAAACCGTTGTGAGCGGAGCATAACACCCCCGGAAAGTTTCAAACTCTTCTAAACTGACGAGCCAACCACTCGCAAACAAACAATTCTCACCCACATGATATGACGCCAAAATGTACGTCTGCTATTATCTCAATAGCTACATGCGGCACATTGGTGAAATCACGCGCTCGACGATTTTTTTGGGCATTAAATGGCGTTATTGACAATATCATTTCAAAGCGTCTATTCTCTCCTTGCTTTTGGTGAAATAAATACTCATTTATCTTGAATAGAAGTCGAGATTTTGGGTCACGAACAGGGGTTCGAGTGACCTGGTGTCAGAGATAAACTTTCCGAAATAAATGGCCGCCAAAGCTTGGCATTTCAAAAGACTGGCATTTCCAAAGCTTGAGTTTCTTTGTAAATTTTTTAATGTAGTAGCACCCAAATTTTTCGGAACTTTTGTGATCTATTTGCTGTAATTGTAAAGACTTTGAAACTATAACTAAAGATAAAACTAAGCTGTAAACTGTCTTGATAGTTCTGTGAGAAACAAGTAACTTAAAAAAGTACGTTTTTGTCAAGCGCTCCGTAATATGCTTATAAAATTAAAAGTTGTTGGCATAACCCTACATACCTTCGCCTCAATATACTTTCAGTCTTCTTCTAGCTCTTTTCTTTTCTTTTTTTTCTTTTACCGAGTCAAATCCTCAAAACTAGGTCACTGTCTTTTTTATGTCAATATTATCTGAAAATAAAAATATCATTTTGAAGAAAATGTCATTCTTCGGTAGAAACCCCCAACACTGTATCCTCCGTACAACGTTTAACTCACAAGCGCACCGACCTCAAAATCGTGCAAATTACCCAGGATACCGAATGAAATAAAGTTTTTAAAGTTATAAACTAGACCATTATCCCAAACCAGAATACACGGGGCACGAAGATCCAGATAAAAAAAATCAAAGCCGTGGCGACGTTCGACCGTCGAATCTTTTAATATCGTATACGATCATCCGCACACAGTATAATTTAGAAGTAACACTTATCTCCCTTTCTCTCTCTCGCCCTCGCTCTCTCTCTCTCTCTCTCTCTCTCTCTCTCTCTCTCTCTCTCTCTCTCTCTTTCTCTCTCTCTCTCTTTCTCTCTCACTCCTATCTCTCTCTTTTCCCCCATATCTCTATATCTCTCTCTCCCCCCTATCTCTCTTCCCCCTGTATCTCTATCTTCTTCTCCTTCTCCTCTCCCCCTCCATCCCTCTCTCTCTCTCTCTCTCTCTCTCTCTCTCTCTCTCTCTCTCTCTCTCTCTCTCTCTTTCTCTCTCTCTCTCTCTCTCTATCTATCTATCTATCTCCCTTCCCAACTTTCGTCACCCTCCCCTCCGTTGCGCCCCCTAAGGCGGTGACATCTATAAATAAATCATCCTCCCCACACCCCGGGGATGAGATCAATGACCTAGTTTCAGTCCCTGCCGCATATCGATCTCCGTACCCTACATTGTGGAGTCTACACTCACCAGCTCTTCAACACCACAACACTACAACACTTTTTCTCCCTCTCTGCGGGAAGATAGGCGGCTCTCTTCAGAATTTTCACAGATATAATTGAGTGTTTGTGTGCCACGATGCAGTTAAATCAGGCTGTCGTCAATTTTGGCCATATGTATTTATTTCTAATTGCTATATTCCCAAATGTTTCATAAATGGTCGCTTTTAAGGACAAGCGGACCAACCCAGATTTCGGGGGGTTCCAGAAATCTTGACCTACACCAAAAGTAGGCATCGCCCTAACTATAGGAGAAGTTTGGTTTCATTGGTGTGTATATTTGATTGGTTATAGCGAAAAACTTTCCTTGTCTTATAAATAAGCTGAAGGGACAAAAACTTTACCTTAGATTGTCTCAAAGCAGCATTTTTCGGGATAGCCCCCTTGTGCTTAAAAGCGATCAAATAACCTAATATTGTTAATATGTGGGTGTTAAACCTATACTGAATTACAGCTTGTTTATTAATTGTTTTTCCTTTAATGAATAAAAATACACACATTATTAATATCTGGAATAGACGTCGGAATATTAAATAATTTGTGACTGGAGGAGGTCTGGGGTTGCCTGGTATCCGATGTAAAATTACAGAGAAAATGGCCGCTAAAGTCTGGTGCCTTCCAAAGCTTTAGTGTAAATTTGCAATTTTCCATAAGCATCTCGAACAGAAATATTATTTAAAATCGACTCAAAAGGTGTTAAGCCAACATATACTTTAATTTTATCACGCATCAATAAACAATACCCTGAAAATAAACGTCGGTTTCTTGGACTTCATTATTTTGACGAGAGTCTGATGTCACTACGTTGTCACTCAAATTTTTCGGTATTGATCGGGTGCTTAACATCATACGTAATTGTATGTCTCATAGAGCACGCTTGCAGTTGTTGTTGGCAACCGCGATGACAAGAAACAAAACGCCAATGTCTGTGATGTAGCAGTTAAGCACCTCGCCTTCACACACAGAGAACACGACTTCGATTCCAATGTGCGTAGAATTGGTGAAGTGGTATAGGATTTTTACTTTTAGTAGATGTTTTTAAAGCGCTCGCAACTTCATAAGGTCCTATGAGCGCCAGAAGATTAGAGGTGTTACAAGAGAGTAACAAGCATAAAAAAGAAAAATAGGAGATAAAGAAGATAAATGTTTGATAGGAAAGAAGAAGCAAACCACACCAGAGCACCCGACAAGCACCCACTGGGGTAGGTTTGACGCCCCTATCAACACTATTGGGTTTTTTTTTTTTAAGAGGCTGGATCTCCGAGTTTAACGTCCATCTCCGAAAGCACTTAGCCAAGTGGGAAATTCGTGTAAATTGTCTTTCCCAAGGACACAGCATCGGACAGAGCTGTATCTCGCAATCTCACGATTACAAGTTCGGTAGTCTGACCACTAGGCCACCGACGACACTATGCGGAGAAGTTTTATCAAGTATCTCGGTCGTTCCGTCGGAACGCATGTTTCTTTCTTCGCCCAGGTTGGCCATAACAGTAAAGATAGAAGCCCGCCTCCTAAATGATCTAAAGTGTGTCGACAGAGATGTAACAACACTGACGCATTATAATTATTGTTGTTCTATATGGGAAATGAAAGGGGTTGCCGCTTAGTGCGATTACATAAATTATGTTAAATGCAGAGTTGCAAATGGATTCACCAGTACGTCTCATTTTCATCAGACACTCAATGATTCAGAATAACAATAATGGATTTTAGCACAACAATATCCTTAAAACGCATTTGCGGTAATCAGGTGGCGCCTCTGGTATGTCCTATTTTGTTTCGATATCTCTGTTGTTTCTGTCTGTCCCTAACAATAAATGTCAGCTATTGTACCGAAGCGCCTTTCTTTGCAAAATAAAACAACAAAACGACCCCCACCCCCAAACAAAAATAACAAAAACAACCCCCTCCCCCAACCACAAAACAGGAACAACAATAAAAGCAAAAAAAAACAAAACTACCCAAAAAGAAAACAGAAACAACAATAACCAAAACAAAAAATAAATAAAACAAAACACACGAACAAAAAAGATAAAAGAGACCATGAAAAAATCGATGGTACAATGGTACACATGTTTAGTGTACACGTATTTCACTCTCTGGTACTGGTAAAAGATATCTACTCTTCGGCACGTATATGGCCTATTTTTGTCGCAAATGCCTCAACTTTCTTTCTAAACCTAAAACTTGCAAGCTAAAATGAAATTATTCAAATTTAGAAAACCTTAGAATATCCCCGAGTGTCTCCAGTATCAGTGTCACAGACTTAGACTTGAGCTAGCTCTTACCACATGCTTTTACAATAACACACTGGGCAGGATTATGTTGTAAAAGTAAAGTTGTTCCCGCATCCGATCCGGACATTGGGGATTTCAATGAGACAATTTACTGGGCCTTCGGCACATTGTGGTAGGGTGGCCAGTTCCTTTCAACGCCGCCTTTACTTCCCCAACACAAAGTCAGGTACCCATTACTGCTGGGTGGGCAGGAGGGCGCGAAAAAAATCCGTATGGGAACCGAGGGAATGTTGTATCGTGGTACAGATGTAGGTGCTCGTCAAATCAATAAACGGGAGTAAGGGAGGGGGGGGGGGGTTCTCAACTATGTGTGAGCCAGCTGCTGCAGGAGAGAGAGAGGGAGAGAGAGAGAGAGAGAGAGAGAGAGAGGGGGGGGGCGATCTTTTCGAGACCATTGGAACATGTTTTTGTTTTTTGTTTGTTTTTGTTTTAGTTCAATATATTCTATGTCCATTAAAAAACACCCTACCGACTGGATTTTAGTGAATAAATACTTCGATCGAAAGCCCAACAAATTAAAAAATTGCAGTTGACAAAAGCCTTGAAAGAAACCAAAATTTGGCGGCCAAATTTCGGGAATTTTATCTCTGACACCTGACAAATCTCATCTTCAATCGCAAATATCTCCACTTCTATTTAAGAGACATGGGCATCTCTCGTTTAAATCAAAAGCAAGACAAATGAACAAGGTGTTGGATTATTTCAATATCACCTTAGTATCCACAAACTGACGAACGCCTGATTTCACTGCATCGTGAGCCAATTATTACTCTTTCGCCACTTGGAAGCACAATGTAAAAGGGAGATCGTTCACACCAACCCACGCAACAGCAGCTGTTGTTGAAGCAGACTGGATACACGCTGCTGAGATAATATTTTTGTTTTTATTTTGGCTTTTGTCTTGTGTGTGTATGTGTGTGTGTGTGTGTGTGTGTGTGTGTGTGTGTTTGTAGAGGAGATTATTGGCACTAGTACCCACTAAATACCGGGCTACATTCAACCAACCCACCTGCTGCAGCATGCGTGAGATATGTTTGCCAACGAAATAATGATATGTTCTTTTTTGTTCCCTGGAAATGTATAATTAATTAAACGTTTGCTGGTCTATATCGATAATGCTTACACTGCATAGGACACGTAGCTTTTTTGTACTGTGTATTGTTTTTAAAGAGTTTTTGGAAACAGTGGTTAATAGTTTTAAACATAGGATTTAATCGATTTAGAAATAATGTTTATTGTCTTAAAATAGATATAAGCAGGCATACTCTTAAACATAACAATACAATGACAAAGGTATAACAATCGATTGTGGCATGTATCTCACTGAAAGTAAAAGGTACACTTTTGGGGATTCCAATAAACTCCCCTTTTACAGCATTACAATTTTGAAAAAATGGGTAGGGGGTTCATGTAGGCGAATCAACTTTAATGGAAGAGGGATCGTGGTAGAAAAAAATGGTCGATAGAAATATTTACATACACACACACACACACACACACACACACACACACATACATACACACACACATACACACACACACACACACACACACACACACACACACACACACACACACACACATATATATATACGCACATACACCCACGCAGAGAGAGAAAAAGAAAAAAAGAGAGAGAGAAAGAGAGAGAGAGAGAGAAAGAAAGAGAGAGTGAGAGAGATAAATGGGGAGAAAAAGAAAGGAGAGAACAGTGAATGCAAAACCATTACAGAGAGAAAAGTGAGAGGAATATTTGTAATTCAGGAGGGGACAGAGAGAATGGCAGGGTGCACATAAAGAAATCAATAAGTATTAAGAAAGAGACGGTGACCAATAGAAACATTTCAGTACCGTAATCGATCACATTTCATACAAATCTTATTTTATAAAATTAGGAGCCAAAATTAATAGAGAAACACTACAAAATGCGTTAACTTTGGAGATTTTTCTTCTGCAAACAGACAACCACCCTTCCCCCCCCCCCAAAAAAAAAAGCAAAAAAAACCCAACCCAAAACAAGGGTGGGGTGAAGGGGGCGGTGGGGGGGGGGGGGGCGGCAATTAGGACCTGTTTTTTATTTCTACTCGCCTTTTATTATTGATTCAATTGTCCTTTTCTTTTCTTTTTTTTCGTGGTCTTTAAATCGCTCCTCCAACCAGACAGAACCCGCTACCCCCTGTCGTTGTAAGCATAAACTGTTAACATTAAGCAGACGTGTTTTCCTTTTTGTTATCGTTATTTTCTTTTCCTTTACTTCATAAAAAAAAAATATATTCTTTAAAGAAAAAAACCAAAAAAAAATCCCCTCTGTTTCCGTCTCTTTCATTTACCAAGTGGTGGCATCGGTTGCCTAGTTGTTATGTACCGGACTAGCAATCGTGAGATTGCAGGTTCGGGGGTTCGAACCTCAGTTCTGACAGATGTTGTGTCCTTGGGAAAGCCACTTTACACAAATTAAGCTTTTGGCTTGGTCCTTTCGGAGATGGATGTTAAATTCGGAGATCCTGCCGCTAAAATAGTTGCTTTTAAGGACGAGTGGGTTAATCCAGATTTCTTGGCTTTCCAGTAATTTTGACCTACACCAAAAATGGGCATTGCTCTAGCTGTAGGAGAAGTTTAATTTCATTGGAGTGTATATTTGTTTGGTTATAGAGAAAACTGTCCTGGTATTTTAAAGAAACTGAACAAGGGGCAAAAACTTTACCTTCGATTTTCTCAAAACAGCATTTTTCGGGATAGCACCCTTGTGCTTAAAAGCGCCCAAATAACCTAATAGTGTTGAAAGGGGCGTTAAAACTATTTCATTATAATATATCATTACAGCCCAAGTCTGGTCCAGAACTGCGGTGCCCGGAGTTGTCTGATCGCGGCTCTGATCCCTCACTTTGTGTACGTGGCAGCCAACATCTACCCTGCTATGTGGCTGATGGTTCCAGTCTCACTGTGTCAGGGAATCGCGCTCGCCATAGCTTGGAACGCCATGAGTACTTACATCACTCTCTTGTCAAAGTAGGTCACATCGGTACTTACATCTCTCTCCCCCCCCC